AGCACTGTCATCATTTAATCTGGTTTGCCCAGCATTGATTTTTGCAAAACGTGACCAGTGTTATCTATGTTTGTAATTTTATATATTTTATATTTCGAAATAATGAACAATTGTATACTTAATATGCTACTCTCATTACATTTATATTGAATTATTTAAGGAATCAAAATTCCAAGTGCATATCAATCAATAAATCATTGACGTATCCGTAAGTACGAATATAATAAACTGTTTAATTAGACTGATATGTATAACTTGATTAATTATATTTGAATATATTCCTGATCAATTGTTAACTTGAATATATTCATGGGACGGAACAGTCCAGACAGTGGTATTCAGGTAAGACATGAACTTAAAACTGTATGAACTATACTTCAATATTGAAGGTCTGGCCAAACTATCAAATTTTATGTGACAGATAAAATGTGCTATGCCCATATTTGGATGTAATATGGCATCATCATGCCCACACAAATTTATCCCATACGATTTGATAGTGTAGACAAAGCGTTACATTATACAAACAAGAACGAACGAACTATTCGACAATGAACAATCAATGTGAAAGTCATGTTATCAATCAGTCAATAAAATTATCAATTAATGCATACATTCAATACCTGTCTCTTATACACATCTGGTGCGTTAAGATCTACTAACCGGAACATGCCACCTACATCAAAAATACAATAGCAAATAATTGATTTAATGTCCAGGCGAAATTGATTTATTAAAACAAAACAATGACGTCATCCACAGGTGGGCAAAGTGAAAATGAATTAAAAACAACCCTATGTGCGCGACCCGCCAAGCAAAACTGCCAGTCACCGATCATATGTAAAATGTAACATTAAAACTGAGAACAAGTGGTATAAAAACAGTGCTTGGAGGTTTTTGGAAGTTCACTGGCATATAAAAGTTTGAGTGTGGCCCTCGGTGTTAAATAAAAAATTGACTTCGTCCCTCCGAACGATTTTTATGCCCACCCCTGGCATAACCCCATGATCAACCAATGCCATATCCTATGATGTAAGCAGTAGGACGGTAGGCTACCTACAAAATATGAAAGGGCTCAAGTCGAAGTGCACCAGATAATAATGCGTCAATTTGATACAAATTATTGTTTATGACAGTTTCCTTATTACAATATATACTTCCGTCAGTTCGAATAAAAAGTATTAAGAACCAGGATGCTCTATTAAACACAACATCAAAATAAGCCTATTAATAATACAGTATTTAAACAAACCAAATTTATGTTCTCTTACTCTTCGTTGTAGTAACTGTTTCTGCTGCTGGCGTTAAAACTGGAAATACAAACACATTCGTTTAATTTGTTTTCATATGTATGAAACAGTCTCATCTTTACGTCATTATTAAGTTACATTTATATGGCAACAGAGGTCATAGTGGGCAAAGCGATCTAGAATCGGTTACTATAGATATAATGTAAACTCAACTCAGAGTTTTCATTTTAAAATTTCAGTAATAATAAATATAATAATAAATAATAATGATGACAATAATAGTAATTATAATAATAATAGGCCTAATAATAATAATAATAATAATAAGATAAAATATAATAATATGATGCACCAATTTATATACAGTATGAATTGAGATGAGATACATAACTTTGCAGTACATTTACATTACATTTACTTTCCATTTATTCAATTCTGAAATTTTGATGGATTTTATATTTACATGTTTTTTAATTCAATTTTAATATTTGAATTTTTGTATGTTGTGTATTTCTATTATTGCCTGCCATTGGTTGTGGTCATTGCTGTTTTAGTCATTAATCTTGTAATTGCATTCTTTGCTACACCC